CTATTCTGCTATATGGACAAACATGTACAAAATTGCAATTTAAACATCCAGAGTCACGTGTTCTGCTTCTGCTTCACTGCGCTCTGACAGTTTAACAGCTGCATTTCTTTAAACTTTCATTTCTTTTTTTTTATTAAAAGCACATTTTGTTAGGTTTTAAATATGGAATAAGCAGTAACAGCTGAGAAATGGCCTTGGTACTTACATTCTGTAACTGCATGCAAATTAGCTATGAGCTCATGCAGCATCTGCTTGTTGGCCTTGTGGAGCTGCCTGGTTAAGGCAGGAGAAAGATGCCATGTGTAAAGATTGCTCAGGAAATATTAAAACAAAGGGATTACCATACATCTAATCCAAAGCATTACATCATCTCTCCTGGGTTTTACAGTTTTGCTGATCTCAGTCTGTAATTCTTTCTGCAGAATTGTGTCTGTTTTTAAATAAAGGGCACTTGAGGCAGTTGAACTTCATGGTTGTCAAACAACATTGGGTGTCAGCCTTGTTCTTGTGTTACAGAGATTTCTCCAGACATTACAATATTATATATGGAAGATAATGAAATCCCAATATTTTTTTATTTACCGGGAGAGACCTTCTTCAATTATGAAACTCTTCGCCGACACAGAATAAAGAACAGCAGTCGCACTGAAAGACTCAACACAACTTACCCGTTTTTTTCTTGGCCCTGACACAAAGTTTTTGAAGACTGTTGCTGGCATGAAATTCAAAAAGAAGAAATATTTTCCCCCCCAAAAATAATTTGTCTCTTTCAACAGACATGTTATCTGTTTGTAGCACTTTCAAGTAAATCTAGGGATTACTGTAAATGATTTAGAAATCACAACAATCTGTTTTTATAAGCAGTTTATGCAGCTTCCCAAATTTTTGGGAAATGGGGCTGTAGTTAATGCTCTTCATGTGCAACACATCCTGTGGTGAAAAAGCCTCTGTATTAAAACTTGTGTGTAGAAAGTTACATGCACCTTTGATTATGGTGCAAAAGTATCTCAGTTGTAGTTTCTTCAAACACAATGAATAGTAGCAGAATGATTAAGTGGGGTTAACCTTTTATCTTCATAATTCTTACACTTGCGTGTAGTCAGGTTGTGCTTTTCAATCCAACTCACTTAAAGTAACTGTTGACCACTTCAAAATGGGTAGATTTTTATGGTGTAAAACTATCTATCAAAGGTCCATGCCACTCTGAATAACATTTGAGAATAAATACTGGATTATGTGCCTTAAACTCTTATATGACATGCTCTTATAAACATTTACTCGCTAAATCTCTGAAGGACAGGTGGTGAAGTGTCATGGTATGACAAGCCTGATTAATCTTCAGGGTAATAAATTGTAAACGACACTCTTACGGCTTTTCTTTCTTCATAACGGTTGCATCAGCAGATACAGAAATACTCCCAAATATAAAAACTTATTCCAGAAGGGAAAAAGGTGCCTAAAAAATTTCACTGTATTAGGCCACACCAGTGACTGACGAGCAAGGTTCAGGTTAAAGTTCACATGTCCTGATACACTTAGAGAAACAACCACAAACAGGCACAAGTTTTAACCACAACATGATCATTTTTAACAAACCTGCTGTCATATTGGACATGAAACAGTCACTGCCTAAAAGGCTTTTACCCACGAGTCCTGAAAGGTTTGTAGTTTCTCTTCAACAGAAACCAAACAGCGGAATATATCACAGGAAAACAGAAAATACTACTCCAATAGTCGTTGGAGTGTACAGCACAAAATTCAACACCCGTTTCGTGGCGCCCCTTCTCCTATTTGCACAAAAAAAAAAAAAAAAAACAGGAGGCAGAGAGTTTCCACTGGACTCTGAGAAGCTGCTGATTATTGTCAGTCCTCAGTGAAAAGCCAAAGAGGAGATCATCAGATCTGAGTGTGGTGATGTGTGTGTCCCGGCGGTGTGTAAGGAGGTGGCGCCGGGTTGGGTTTGATTCCCCGGCTCTTCATGTAAGAGATGAACTGGTCAGGGATCTCTGCTAGCACATCTTTAGCTAGTCGTGCCATGCTTAGCACGTGGTTACCTGTCCGATCCATATAATCTCTGAAAGGAACAAACTGAGGAAAAACAACAGACGTAAAAATGATTTGAAATGACAGTGATTTAATATTTAAAGTCTGTCGATACAGAGTGGCGTGATGTGGGAAACTGTATTAAAGAGCACATGGTTTTGCCTAGCTGATATAATATCATCTGGGCTTATTGGACAACTGTTGTGATCCACGGAAAGCTCCTAATACCTTTTGACACTGTAAACAAGCAGGTTTGGAGAGCAGGGTGGGACACCGAATGGAGAAATCCCTGAGGCTCATGTTTAAGCCCCTATGTTAGTCAACATTTGCAGGATCCTGAAAGCTTTAGGATGCTCATCCGTCACTAATCCTCTGATATGGTTTCCCTTAGGAGAATGAATGTGCTCGAGCAAAAAGACATCTTTTCCCTCTATAGTCTGATAAATTACTCTTAAAGACTTTTTTCTACCCTTTGCTATTGCTTGTAATGATTCGTGGGGGGGATATAATTCACCGTAGTTTTCTGTCTCTCTCTTCACTGACAAAAGATATTCTGTGTAAATTCCATGACTTTTGACCCCAACGTGATTCTCAGACTCAGTGCGTGCAATGAATACAGCCAAAGTTTGTTTCATGCTGTAAAGGCCAGTCACCTGAACTATGTCTCGCTCTGCCAGTTTCCCCCGGGATGAGATCCTGATGTCATCACCATCCAGCTCCACCATAGCTGGAAGACACAAGTTCACACAAACACACACACATAGTGTGAAAACTGATTAGAGGCAGCTGCCTTTATGACAAAAGGTTCTTACACTAAAAGGTTTATTTATCACAGATGATAAAAATCCAAATTTAAATATGATCTTTTTGCACTAGTAAAAGCTATAATTGTTCTTTTTTGCATGTCTAATCAACTAATAAGTCCTTTAATATAGACTGTGCAATTTAGAATCATCAGCACTAAATACTGCAAACCCAGCAATTAACCCCAGCCATTTCTTCTACAATTATGCCTGCATCCACCTCCTCATTCCTTTCTCTACTGAGACAAATGAGTTTGTACAGTAATTTTCTCTCTGGTATTTCTCAGAATTAGTGCCAGTGAAGTTAGAACCAGCTCTTATTATAACATACTGCGAATTGAATTAAATTATCAATTATTCGTGGAGAATGACTGATACACTGGTTGGCTGATTTGATTGGCTGATAGAGGCTGTCTCACAGCTATATCAGTTCTTTTATTACTCCAGAAGATAATGCATAATGTAATTTAATAATTATTATTTTCATCACACGTTTATTTTGACACGCACATAAACACTTTACCTCCTTAATAAACCAGGTCTTTACAATTACAATCATTCTAAAGGTAAAAATTTAAAGCTAACGTACCGTCAAACTCAGCCTGACCCACTCCGACTATGATGATTGACATAGGAAGCTTGGCACCCTGCAGAGAAATAGAAATGAAACAACTCAATTTTTTCTAGCTCACATAACTTGTCACCATTACCACTAACCTCTTGTGCCTATTACAGTGACATAATGACATTGTACTAGTTACACACTCTTTTACATGCAGCACACTGCAGCAGCAGAAAAGGTCTATATCAACCTTTAACTAGCTAAATGACCTTTGGGTAAGAACAGACTTTCAGAGAAAAAATAAAAGGGGGAGAAAGAAGCAAGCTAATGAAACAAGATGCTAATGCAAAATATCTATACTTTTTCCTAAACTTATCCCAGATTTCTGATATTTCAGAATCCAATTTTCTGTCATTTGAATGACACCAGCTGTTATGTAGAGGCTTCACTCAGCAACGGACCATTAAATGCTGATTGTCAGACTGAGGAATGGAGATTAACTCACTGAAAACACTAGTAGTGTCATCTGAAATGCCACACTGGTATCTCATGCTGTTTTAATAGCTAAAAGTGGCAGATTTTTTTATTTTCACACAAATATTTGTAGACGTTTATGTCGGAATTTGCTGCCTGGATGAATGCCGAACAGAAGTGTGAAACTACGAAGCTGGCAGAGACTAAAGGGAAAACAGCTGGATGGTCGCATTTATGAACCAGGAGAAGAGGGAGAGGGAGGAGGTGCCAACTCAGTCACTAGGGCAACCATCCTCATTCACCCACCCAGCCACTCCCAGGCCACACTGGGGACTCATGTCGAGTGCAGTTAGTCTTGATACTGTGGAAGAGATCGGCACAAACTTTAGATGGAAAATAAATGAACACAACAGCAAATAATATGGTGCTGCTACATTTCCTAAATTATATCTCACTGTGCTGTAATTTACCAGTCTGTGTGAGAGAGCTTCTGTGGGTGTATATGTCTAGTCAACAATTAATGTGCACATAATTGCACAAGCTACAAGTGGAACATGCAGGGCTGTCCTGCATTCATTAGATTTGCTGGTATTTTTCACTTAGGTAGATGAAAAGAAATGAAAAGAAAGAATGAAAAGTAAAAACAAACTTCATCCAGCTGAGATGTAAACATGTGCAGCGTGCAATCAAAAGGCACTTGGAAATAAACTGGCATTTATAGAGTACTTTCATAGTCTAGCCACATTTAATGACTCATGCATCACTTTGTCTGTGCACTTTATTGACCACAACCCTGTGGCCAATTTACAATCATCAATAAATTGCATGTCTTTAGACTAATTAGGACACTAAAGTACCCGGAGGGAGGCCCACATAGAAAATCCACCCATAAAAGTTTAACCCAGAACCTCATTGCTTTGAAGTTACGGTTCTTACCACTTAACCACTGATCGCTCTATCATGACACTTAAGAAGTTACATTTTCTTCCATCCATCATGCAGCACCAGTAGGGAACCATCCTACTGGTCACAAATTTATTCCACAGCATGACAACATGGTGAAACACGCATACAAGTTTCCACAAATAACGGCATGAGCCTCCCAGAGCCCAAATCTCAATGGAGTCAGTCTGGAAACACACCTATCTGCACAGTACCATGAAAGTGTGCAAGTGTAACAAAGAGAACTTCTTTGAAGACAAACTGTGGTTATAGCAAATATGGATTGAATTTATGTATTTTTTTTAATTTAATGCCCTTTGTATGACATTAAATATTCATCACATTAGATTCGAAAGCATTCTTAATTTTAATTTGTTCTACATCACTTGAGCAGTACATCATCTGTACAGCAAGTCATTCCACATGAAAGTGATGCTTAAGGGAAAGCTGTCCAAAGTCTATATAGGATACATCAACCCCTGGAATCATAAATGTTTGCACAAATTGAGTTCCAGTCAAGAAGATGCTGAGATACCTAACCATCCATCAATCCAACCACCCAACATTTAGGGTGGCAGAGGGAGTGAGCCTATCCCAGCTGCCATAGGAAGAGAGGTGGGGAACATCTTGGACATGCCGGCTGCCTAATTAACGTAACCAATTAACCTAACCCTGACTAACTTCTTACTGTTAGACAACAGTGCTAACCACTTCCCCACCATGCTGCCCCATACTTTATTATATAAGCAACAACTTGTAAACTTCTGGTGATACAAACAAATATTTGTATATTAGATATTTGTATGTTAGAATGCCATTTTCCCAATCAGGATATCTGCTAAAGGGGAAAGGTTATTCAGTGCTCATCTGGACAGCATGTTTTCTCCCAACTAGCTTAGGAGTCAATCTTTGTGGAGTTTGCAACCACGAAAAGTGCAATGTTGTATAATTTTACTTTGTAGAAATAAATATCAGACATAAATTAATATTCTAAGCATTGTACTTTATCCATTTATGTCTAGAAGTGGCCTTTCCGCATAAATGACACCATGAAAGCTCAATGCAAAATCTCCTGTTACATCTAATAAGGTTTCCTAGACTCACATATTTTTTACAAAGCAGTCACATCACCAGGGTTAAACTTGCTGGCACAAGACAAATGCACTGTGGCAAATCAGGCAACCTCTTTTTTTTTTCCCACAGGGATGAGAGCAGTTTGTGTCCTCAGTACCTCAGCCACATCACATCAACGCGATTATCAGTGTTCAACGCGACTCCTGTCAGTGCCTGTCCTCCCACTCATACTCGCAGATATCCATAAGTGTATGCGCAGCCAGAGACACACACATCTCAACATCAAATGCCACTAAAAATAACCTGGCAATCCACCATGCCCCACTTCTGCAGTCCTCCTGTCACCCTGTTTTGCAGCAGAGATCCAGTCTAATGAGACAACAAAACAAAGTGTCAGTCAAAACTTGCAACTTCACTTTGTTTGTGCTTCTTAAATTCAAATGCCAGGCATGTGCATGCTTTGATGAGTGTTTGTGTTATTGCAATTACACATATGAGCTTAAGGGGCTTTATGGATTTATGTTTAGAGTAATAACCATTTCATTCACACATGGTCAGCTATGTTACTAGACTGTCTGACGTTGGCTGCCTCAGATGTCAGCTCAGAGGAAAATTTAGGATAGAAGACTTTTAAAAATAACACAATTATCAGTGAGTCCAGACCTTACCTTTGAACTGTCAGAGTGTATTCTGTGTTCAGCCAGTTATTGAACACAACAGCCCACTATCATTCACATCTTGACAGACTAGTATTGACTGCATTAAGAAGAATGTGGCTGAATGTAATCAGATTTTACCCACGAAATGTTTTTTATATCGAATACAGTTTTCTCAGCCAAGCAACAGCATCACAGTGATCACTAACATGACAGTGCCTGTGTGACAAACATATGTACATTAAGGCTACTCCTCCCACAAAACATTCAGGTCAGCCCTATAGTTCATTTTTGTCCCTCTCTCTAGCCACTGGCTGTATATTGTTTCCTATTACTACTACTATCCAGGCCTATGGTGCTTTTTCAGATTCTTCATATTCAGCAGTGACATGAAGAAAATTACACTTGGATGCAAATTTTGGTGACCGTGAAACACAAATAGACATAAACAGAGAATTTAACATTGCATTTGCATGGATGAAAAAAAAAAAGAACTGGGATTTATAATAAATGTTTTTAAAAACATATACACGTTAATAATTGCTGTATGTGTGACGATGTTCGTGCGATGTTTTGTTGAGATTGGTCCATCTGTTAAGGAGACGATAAGGAACATCACTATAATAAATATTCCCTTACATTACAGAGAAACGCAGGAGTAGGTTCATGTTTTCAGTTGAGTGTCGTCTTTAGGATTGTAATATGCGATATCACATAAACATACAAAGACTGAGGAAGACAGTTGATGAAAACCTTAAAATTTGTGCTTTCACTTCCAGGATGCAAGTATGAAAAACCTACATTAGATAAAGGATGTAGCTGAATACAGCTGATAAAGTCAGAGTAGCTACTATATGCATCAAAAAGCTGTTTTTTAACCATTTGACTTACCTGCAAAAATCTAATGAAATTTACTTCATTGGTATACATTCAGTTTACATCATGCTCATTTTCCTTAATGATTATTTATTTGAATACATAAAGCTCTTTTTTGTGAGTCTGTCAGAAAACAAATGCCCATTTGTTCAAAAATAAAAACTGAGTGATAAATATGTTCCCAGGTGTCGTGTATTATATGCTCGACTTTATTATGCCGGTCATGACAGACGCATGCTGAAAAGGTCGTGTCATATACATAACTGTTACCACAGGAATTTGAATCTTTTAACAATCATTGAAAAGCAATGGGCTGTGTTTCCCTTACTAGCTGTGCTTTCTACAGAGATCCAGCAGCCGCTACTTCTGAAACTCAAATTATGTCCTTCCATTTCAGGAGGATAATGCTGTGATAACTTAAAAAACTGCAGCTGCGTCCACATAACTTCAGTTTTCTTTCAACAGGGCTCATTTCTCTGCACCATAAACTTGATTTGGCATCAACATCTAAACAGTGCAAAAAAAATGGAGGTTAAATGGTTGTGAAGTGAAGTGCTTTTGTTGGGTCCCTGCACCGATAAAGAGACAGAGCACAAAGCACAGACAGATAACAAGTAGAAGATGAGAAAGGAAGGAAATCAAAGGCAGCAGAGGATTTTTTTTTTATAGTCTGAATGTGGTGACAGAAGTATGGAGGGTGCAGATGAAGACAAAGAGGTGTAGATCTCTGAGTGGGAAAAAGATGGAGCGAGACAGCAGGTCTTTGTGTGTGTGAGCGAGGGAGACTCATGATTCCGCAGAGGTAAAGAAAATGAGGCAGCAGAGCAACCCGAGCAGAGGAGGGGGCTGCTGAGTGATTGACAGGTGGATTTCTCTAATGCAGCAGAATCAGTTGTGACTGATAAACCCGCATGATAAGCCACATGTCCACATGTTAACCAGACATACCGCAAACACCGCTCTCCAGTTGTCGTATATGTGTACAAATATAAACTCAGGCACTCACTTCCTCTCACTCTGTTTCTTAGATCTTTCTTCAAGTGTGAATATGTATGAGAAAGGCTTATATAACCTCAGCACATGTGTCCTCCCTCGCCCGGGATCCGTGGAGGGTAAAAAGGCAAGCAGTGGAAGCAGCAAGCATCAGTAGATCAGAAGAGGTGGAGGCAGTGTGATAGAGCAGCAGGCAAGATCTTAAAAGGAAGGTGTGGCTGTTCTAATGTTTTGACTAACAGTCGCAAATTCCCTTTAAATCCAGTCTGCTGGGTGTTCTGTGCCTGTGGCAGGCTGAGGAGGAGTGGAAGAAAAGGGGAAGAGATGGAGGAAAAGGAAAAGGGGAGAACAGCAGCCACCTACTGTTTTAGGCTGGGGAAAGAAAGGTGTGAGGATAAGTTTGGGGGGGAAGCTCTGAGGAATAGTACACAATGCTGTGCTGCTTTATTTACTGAGGCAGTATAAATAAGCCAAACTTTCAGCTGCTGTCTTATTCACAGGGGGTCGCCACAGTGGGGAGCTCCGCATATTTGATTTAGCAAATTTTTTACGCCAGATGCCCTTCATCTTTTCACATCTCGTATTTATTAATAGTCCACTGGTAGAAAGGGAATACCTTAAGGTAATTTAATGGTCTATGTATCATTGATGAGAAAGTTTCTAAACGTGTAATTACAGTTCTAAACATGCGGCTTGCTTGAAGCCATGATTCCAGTCCTTTTTCTCTGCATACTGCAGAACAGCGGCCATTATTAAACCACAGTGCTGTTCTGTGGACTGAAGAGAAAACCACAGAGAAGTTTTAGGGCATGCTAGAGCTGATCGGAGACATAACAATTTTTATTTCCAAGAGCAGCTGAATAGCTGCAGCTAACACGTCCATTGATTGTCAGTCAGCAGGTCAGACTAAATAAGACATTTGAGGACGTACTGAGCAACAGAGCTATATGTGATTTTCTCAATCAGTAGACTTTTACTTGATACCTCATGAAAAGTTAGCGCCAACAGTTGATTAGCTTAAAAACAGTGAAACAGGCTGCCTGGCCCTCTTGCTGTAACCTTGAGTTTGTCATGCAATCAGTGCACACTTAACCGCATAATCATCCCTAAAATCAACTAAAAACAACATTTAAGCACTTCATTTTACACTACACCAGTTTTGTTGCTCCATATTGATGAAAAATGAGTTTGATTGCGCTCCTTACTGCTACAAGATTGTATAAAGACAAACAAAGTAACCTCTTGTGGTGCGTATAGGTGAATTTCGTCTCTGGCACCGTGAATCAGTCAAAGCCCTTCTGTCTTTGCTTGTTAGAAGGTGCAGCTGTAATGTTATCAGCAGGAGCTGCTAGTTCTCAGCTCAGTACTAGCCTCGCTTCTATCAGCACCGACAGCAATGAGCTGCTGGCAATTCAACTATTTTTTTTAATCTCCACTACATCTGTCTGCTCTGCTCTACTCCATGTTCCCCTCTGCCCACACATATGCATACAGATATGGTGAAACAGGGAGCAGAGGAGAGAAGAACTGGTGCTAGCGTCGTTACTGACAGCAGAAAACAGTGAATGCTGTCATTCTTTGCCGAAGTGAAACAAGTGCACATAGTCCCCTCTAAGCAAAGGAAATACTGAGCATCTTGAAATATGAATGGGAGAGAGTAGAGCAAAGGGAACAAACAATCAGCTACTGTTTGTAGTTGGGCACAGAAATAAGACTGTTGAGATTTTTGTATCTCCAGGAAACACTTTTATGTTCTTAAATTACAATTTATTCTTTAAATAATGGCCTTTAGCCTACGCTACACAGCATCATTGAGTTCAAAAGTGTCCTCATTAACGCCAAAACAAGTTGGGTGTATCTAGCCTTTTTTTTTTTGTAGAACAGGAAATGCTCTCCCACTTTCCCATTCTTACATTTACAATGGCCTCTTTGGTCTGGGCCATGTCTGAAATGACGCCGTCTGTGATGATGAGGAGCACAAAGTACTGAGAGCCATCCTGCACCGCCGCTGCGTATCTGCATACACAGATAGAAGCCATCATTACACGATGCCGTGTTATCGTTTTAATACAGAAACAAATCTGACTTCAAGACTTATTAATGAATTGATCAAAACATCGATGTGGAAAACAAACGGATGACAGTGCACGCCTTATCGAGCACTCTCACTACATGCAGATTCAATAAAAAAATGTTCTTTGTCATTGCTGTACTTCAGCTCACACGCAATAAAACACCCCATGAGAAGAGAGCGATTAATTAGATGAAGCAGATTTAAAACAAAGCCTTCTTTCATCGTTTGATTCATTTCTTTGTTAAAATAAATCTCTTTATAAATCAGCTGACTTATTCAAATGCTAAATACCGACTGGCCAAAAGCCACAGCTTAAAAAAGTGAGATACCTTTTTATCAGAATTACATTTTTAATTAGAGCGTCGTTATAATCAGATGGAGAGCTGTTTGGATTTGGCTCAACAAATGTGCCAGTGAGGGCAAAAAATGATACCGACCGAATCCCGTCACACCACGGCTGTGTAAATACAGTGGCAGGTCAAACTATATGACTTAGATTGTTGGTCATTTATTTCACTGGCTATATCTGTGACTGCTTTTTGATTGCTGTGAGCCAATTAAAATTCATTCTGAAGCACATCACATGCTGTTTGTTGTGAAGCAAACAGGTCAGATAAGTTAAAGCCAAGAAGTTGAGTTTTTTTTTTAACTCCAATGTTATAAAGAAAAGATAATCTCACTATTTATGCCAATAAATTCCCACAACAGCTGATTCTATCTGAGACACCGAGCAGACTATAACGCAGGCTGCCGGTCTCTTTGCATATAAATTGTTTTAAAAAATACGTTTCTGAGATAATCTTTCTGAGCTGCAGAGTTTTTTTTAATATTACTGTGTTTTTAGCATTTGGATATAAATAATGTATAAATCATAATAACAGAAAGACAAGCATGAACAGGAAAATCCACAGGGATAAAACAAAAATGACTGCTGCTAAAAAAGAAGAAGAAGAAGATGAAGAAGAAAAGAAAGGGGGAAATTTAAATAAAGAATCCAAGATGGTATTTTGAATTTGCATGTAAAATCACTTTAACTTATGTGGAAAGTCCCAAAAAGTAATTAAATAGCATCTGTTAGAGTTCACCAGCTTGCATGGATCTCTCACCTGGCAACGTGGTTCACCACAGGAGCAAAGTTTGTCGGCCCATACAGCTGCACTGTCTTTAGACTCTGATGGTATGCCTCTAAGATGCCTTCAATACCATTGCAGTATGGATTTTCAATGTTTCCATTCTGAAAGGGATAAAAATAGAAACAAGATCCTGTTCAAGTTTCTTGAAGTCAAATAAACCTAAACAATATTTACTGTAGTTACTGTCAAAATGAGAAATTATTCAGCTAAACATTTAAAATCAGCTAAACTCAGTCAAAGGTAATATGAGGTGGGGGACATATACCAGTGGGAACTCATGTGACACCCGCCAATCGGGCGGCAGTTTGGCACCAAAGCCTAAAGCCGGGAACATCTTGTCACTGTCGTAGTCTTGAATGATCTCCCCAACAGCCTTCAAGGCCATGGCGTAAGCATTTAGCTGGTAGGGATTCATGTAGTGCAGTGAAGTGGACTGGGAGGGGTTACCTGTTGACAAATAAATCAATCATAAGCTCATCTTGATGCACAAGCAACAAAGTCATATTTCAGGTAAAATCGATCAAAGGTGCTGTTTTTGGGTGGGACTTTTTCTAACATTTAAAAATAGCAATTAGCTGCGGTCACTGATCACATTAACACAACTGCAGTGAGCCTGAGCTGTGATGTTCACCCCTGTTAGTCGTTGTAACAAACTGTAAGCTTATCAACAACTGTGACCTTCTTAAACAGCCCCACTGTAACGGCACATCATAAAGTCATTCAGTATTAACTGCCCAGCTGGGATATTTTGGATGTGTTTAGAAAATGTTGCTGTCATTGCCCTCAGTGAGGTTGCTGGTGATATGTGCTCACCAGTTTTATTACTTCCTATCTGACAGCACAAATCCTGCTGCTTTCGTAGTCAAGTGACTTTATCAGTGTCCGGGGTATAACAACAAATTGCATATCACCTGGACTAACACCACAACTGCAAATCTCGAAGCAGCACAGAAATGATTGTCTGCTATATTCCACCCTTCTTATTAGCTGCTAAGCTTTCCATTCTAACATCCAGCCTTCACAGGAAACGGTGGCAGATTTACTGTAAAAAAAAAATCAACATATTTTTGATGCAGCAGGTCTTTAAAGTGGGATGGAGGTTGACAAAAGCAGAACTGACATTAGTATCTGACACTATTGCTAGAGATTTAACCAGATACTCTGGAGCCACAAGTTGATTGAAAACACCATCTGTGGCTCACAACACTTCGAAGGTGGTTTCAAATATGGACTCACAGATAGAGTACTGTGCAAAAGTCTTGAGCAAACCCTCCTTTCTCTATAGTCCGCTAGGAAAATGGTAAATAGGTATAGGGATTTATTGAAGCATATGAAAACATGCATAGAAATACATTATACTATGTAAAATCAGTTTTGCTTGATGCAGCTCTTAGATCTTTGCTCAGTTCTACACTCTTTTTTGTTTTCAGCTAATAGTTTTTTTGGGAATCATCTTTTTGAAGTGTCAAACTGTTATCAATTTTCTGGAAATTCAGTTAAAGAAATGGGACCAAATTTTATGTTTTTACAATAGAAACAAAGTGCCTAAAGACATAAACTAAAAAGGCTTCTTTGTTAATCTCACATGTTAGGTGCCTTTTTCACATACGAATGATCCATAGGTCAGTGTTAAGTAGCTTCACAAAACACAAAAAAAACATCTCTCTGAAAATGGTGAAGCACTTTAAAACCAATAAAACATCTTTAAAAGCAAAGGCTCAAGACTTTTGCTACTGTACACTTTATACATGTTAAAGCTTCCAGGTAAAGTGTCCACATTTTTCCTTTTAATGATTTGTATGGAAATAATGCAACTACTTAAACCCGACAGTGGAAAAACACTAGCTTTACTAAACAGGCTGGTATAAGTTGAGGGAGGAAATAAGTTTTCTTCCAGGGGCGTGTTTGTGATAAATCAAAAAAAAGGAAAAAGGGAAACTTATATTTCCCCCCTAATAACTGTGATTCATGCTGAAAGCTAGGACTTAGGACTTAGGACTAGGTAGATAAATCTTTTGCAGTACTGCATTCAGTCATAATTATTGGAATAAGTAGTGTAATGACAGTTAAGTGTGGTGCTATTTGCTTTTTAAAACTTAAACGCCTGCTCTAATTACCCTTTAAGCTCTCAAAAAAAATATAGTAAGAACTTTCCAGGCCATCGGCTGTTAGAGACACTATGTGTACAACGTGCATGCCTGCAGTGATGGTTTGTGTCACTGTGAATTTGGACATGCCACGCTTTTGGAGCAATGCTAAATATTTTTTATCCCCGACCCCCCTTCTCCCTACACACTTTGCTGTTAGTATCACTCACCATTAGATGCTGTGAAATCAATGGCCACAGTGAAATTGATCTGAGTCCTAGAAGTGATAAGGAGGGGAGGACATCGGAAAAAAAATCAACAACAGAAAGCAGCCAACAATAAAAACATGCCAGAGCTCATTAAATTTCCATGCTCATACCAACGACCACACACGACCCCAAGAGACACGAGGGAGATTACATACGGCATGGCGATCTTTTCATATGACGATATCGATCGGCCTCACTGTCAATACCAACTGCTTCAATATACAAAGTACGGCCAGTTGTCAAACAACATTTAAGTGATTACACTCTTTTATCTTGTTTATCTGACTTTCACCTCCACGAGAAAAGCCGGAGGTGCCGAGGAGCTTCTGAGAGATGGAGCATGGTAACAAGCAATTACACTGATGGAGCACTTAAGAGTAAATCATAATCCAATTTTCCCTGCTGATGAAGCACTCCCTTCTTCTTTCTAATTTACAACAATGAGACGAGGCCTTCGGGGGCTCACACGACAGCCTCTCATTATCTATGAAAGTCACCAGAGAGAACAGCAAAAGAATGATAATAAAAACGAATGACTTAAGGATTCACATTAACCTTTCAGCTTTAGGTAGGGACGCAGAATATGCCACAGCCTGACCCTGCTCACATTAGTATTAATTAAACTTCATTTTATTCATTCATTAGGACATTTTGGAAATAATTAGTGTCTGGGAGGGCAGGTTTGCAAATTGTACATCTACAGCAGGAAAGTCAGAGCTCTTCAGCGTGAGATTTACTTTTTATGTTAATTTACATTAATTTGTTTGATCACCTCTCATGAAAGTAAGAACACGCAAGTATTTTTTTAATCTGTCAAAAATTTTGGTTAAAACCAAAAAATTATTTTGTTATTTTTTAGGCAAATAACAAAGCGAATTTACATTTTTAAACCAAAATTTGAGCTTGCACACTGGATTTGTCTGCCCACTAAAACTCATTTTTATCTGTCCAGGAATTCAAGTAAATGACTGTAATTATCTTCATCAAGAAATTATAATGTGCTTCACTATTTTTTCCAGCTTTTCAGTAAAACAGTAGGAAATTCACAGACAAAAACAATAATTATATTTTAGTATTAAAAACATTTTGATTATAGAGCTTGTTATAGCTGATGGATAAATCATTAAGTGCTGTTAAAAAGCAGGTGTGGCTTACACCAGCGGTCCCCAACCTTTTTTGCTCCACAGACCAGTTCATGTCTGACAATATATTCATGGACCGGTGTTGCGGATAAATACAACAAAATAAAACCAGTACCGATACCAAAAAAAAAAAAGATTTATTCATTACATGGACCCAGGGAAACCGAGTTAGTGATAAAAACCGATAAAATCCCTGAATACCATACAGTTCACACCCGAGCCTCAACTCTCGCGGCCCGGTACCAAACAACTCACGGACCAGTAACAGCCCGTGGCCAGGGGGTCGGGGACCGCAGGCTTACATCTTACATTGTGGGGTGGTCTAACACATTTGTCACGCACGGCATGTCGGAAGTTTCGATTAATAACACAACTACAACACTACTGCATTTTGCAAGCTGCTAGTTAAAATATTCCTCTACTTACTGATAATTATTTAGAACAAAAAATACACAGTATGTTTCTGCAAGCTGCATCGATTATGCACGTTCTTCTGTTCTCGCCCTACAGGTCGCTGGGAACAGTTTGTGTTGCATTTATGTTAATTCACAACAACACAATTGTTACACATCCTATTTCAAATTTGTGACTGGTAAAAAGGTATGTTTGAATGATTTTCCTCATATGTCCTCTCAGTCTTTAACCTCTTTACAGTCTCTGTGCTGCTGAGTTTGAAAGAGATCTACATGGACGTGCAAAGCTTTAAAGCTGTTTGAATAGTCAGATTGTTCTTGCTCTTTTATGATTACAGTGGCTTTAAAATGAGATATAAAAGCAGGCATACTTCAACTTTTATCCCGATGAAAGCTGTAAAGCTAAATATTACAGAAAAGTGCTTTAACAGCTGGAGCAGAAAAGATGGCAGTGATGGAAGTGTTTCTCCTGTTTTGTGGTTACAAAGGGTTTGGACAGCTTAAGTGGCACACTTTCACAAACTTACATCCATTTTCAAAAGAGCCTTCACATTTGCAAGAACCAGCTCTCATATGATATGTCTTTCAGTAAGCACCACAGTAATGTTAGGGGCCAGACTGATGAGGATGATATTTCTGAAGAGAGGCCACTAAACTTTGAGGTTATTGTATCATAAATCAGCCAACGCCAGGAACTGTCAGCGAAATGTGTCACACTTGTCAGCTCTGCCACAGCACATAAAAACTCTGACAGCTGCCCTGCTGTGGTGGGACATTTGAGATCAAAGCACAGCCCAATCTGCCTGAAAGACACACTTCACCTGAGAAAGACTTGATATTCACACGTCAGCCTCCGGTGTTAAAGCTTCACTGAAGTTGGAGGGCTGGTACTGTACCGTTTATCTTTTAGAACTCATTAAATATACATTTGGAGTTTGAATGCCCCAGATAGCTCCAGCTATGAACTTATTAGTCAGTTTAACAAAGTTGCAGTGGAACATTGGACTTCTGATCCCTCTGCATGAAAGATAGGAAAGTATTTTAATAACATTTTTAATGAAGACCACACAGACAGTTTTTGGTATGTTAACAAAGGCTCAAATTATTGTTTGAACATTAAAGTGCCAGATATTTTTCTACAGAGTTCTTGGAGAATAATCAGAGCTGGAAGACAAGCAAATATCGGAAAGGAACACAATGTTGATATTATTCAGTGTCCTACAAATATGCCAAGAGGCTCGTGTTTCAAGCATGGTTTAATAAATATGATGCTGAGCTTTCAACTTCTGGGAAATCAACAAATATTTAACGGTGACCTCACTCTGCATCATTAAGTACAAAGATGAAACCACCCAAGTATTTCTGCATTAGTTATAAATGTTCCCTCCCTTGATTTATGCTTCGACAGAGGCGTTATTTACGACAGGCTTTTAGTCATAGTAAGGCATTACAAGTAAAAGGCAATTTCATGGTTTCTTTCAGTTTGAAGGTGGTCGTTCCCACTCACCCTCCTTTAATGTAATCTAAGAAGGTGAACTCCGACTCCACTGAGAAGGAAAGCAGGGTTACCTGAAATTAAAGACAAGGATAGACACTTGATTAAATGCAGAGGTATTGATGTTTTCCCCTTAATCCAAAATAAACTCCACATCATGTCTTAGTTGAGCACTTTATGCTCTCTCTGGTAAAAGATGTGAGCCGGCCGCTTTCTGATGAAAGACTCATTTGCATTGCCGGAGGAGACGTTTGAAGAGAAGATGAGATAAATTTGTACGCATTACGTGTTCACAGCCACGCTGCTAGGTAAGCTCTGTGGAAATCACAAATGTCACAAATGGCTGCTGGTGGTGGCTACTCAACACATGTCTTTAAGGTTCTGTCAGCCTTCTTTTGTCCCGCTCATATACATTTTTATTATAAAATTTCTCTTTTAACATAATTACCTAAAGTACCACATACTCAGGCCATGTCCACACTAATACGTTTTAGTTTTAAAATGCATCTTTTTCTCTCCGTTTTGGCCTCCCGTCCACACTGAGACAGCGTTTTCGGTCAAGGACAACACCGCGCTCTCCAAAGCGGATACATTTGAAAACGCCGTTTTCGCGTCGCATTGTGGACAGTGAGCCTTTTTGAAAACAATGACGTATTTTAGTCATGTGTCGCAGTCATGTGACCAATTAAACTAAGATTACGGAGGGCATTATACAGCAGTTGCTTTGTTTGCTCTCAATTTTGACAGCCCTATTAAAGATTTATATCAGTCTGTACATCCTCCAGATAGCTTTTCTTCAAATTCTTTAAATCTCAATCGCTTTTGCAACTTTGTACTTTTGTGTTACTCGCAGCAAGAACTCCACCCCATTGTTAGTCCATTTAAAAAACTCTGTGCTTTTCCTTGACATTTTGCCGCGACGTTTCAAAGAGCCGGAAAGTAAAAAACAGCAGACAGAAATGAGGCAGGTCGAATCATCTTACGTTTCACGCATGTGCAATACAGGAACGTAGCGTTTTCGATCATTTCAGTGTGGGTGAACAACTGGTCAGAAATGCTTGAAACGATAGCGCGGACACGGAGAGTTTTTAGACAAAAACGCCGTTTTCAAATTATCCGGTGTATTAGTGCAGACGTAGCCTCAATCGTGTGTAATGTTTAATTAACAGGTCTGTGGACAATTAAAGAGAACATGTACAGTGCTTTATGTTGTTGTCCAGATATAGAAAGCACACCTTCCAAAGTCTTCCACAACACTTGCATGAAAATTAAAGAGGGAATCATTAACAGAAGAAAAGTAGGTGTGAAACAGAAAAGCGGCTGTCTGCCAGCCCTGATTAGTGTTGAAACTGTACTCACTGTTCCAGAGTTGACATATTTCTTTTTCTTCATTTTCTTTTTGGTATTAATCACCTACAAAGAAACAAGGAAAGGAAAAGGAAATCCAAAATCCAGTCCATCATATGCTGAGCCTAGAAATACTTTATATGAAAAGTATTTATACATACATTTATACTGCTTCTAGCTTACCAGAGCCAGTAGCACAAAATGCCTTTAAACCAGAACTGATTCTGGGCTGTGCTTATTAGCTGCAAGCATTTTATGCAAACTGTAAAGCGGCCTCTTTCATACCAAACCTTTACATTCACCAAAAAAAACAACAACAGAAAAAATAAATACTACATCACTGGGCCAGATGTATTTTTACACACTCTAAAGCAACGTTTCCTTTTACACACATACACACTCTTTGGTTTGATGATATAATTCCACCCTAATTGGAGGCAACAAATCTAATGAAGGCATGAGTGTGGGTGGCACACAGAGACTGCGTGCCATCACACAGATGTATGCAGTGTGGAGGCAGGATGGAACAGTGAGTGTGTCTATATGACTGACAGAGGAGCAACAAGAAAACAAGTGAGGTGAGAAAGGGCGCGTGTTTATGAAATAATAGATGGGTATTATAAGAAAGCACTGCTCCTGCAAGGGAAGATTAGAAAAACTAGAAATGGATGCACGTCAGTGACATTACTGGAGACTGGAAGTTCAAACATGAATCTCGGGTTGCAATGACTCGATGGGGTGAGACAGGCTCAAGGTGCGAGGTGTACATTTGCTTTACTGGTATTCTAACGGCTCCAAAACAAGACGGAATTGTCAATCTGAAGACCAAAGACGTCTCAGCTCATTACCTCAATTCTCTATGGCTACTAGGCATGGAAGTGACAGCCCCTAATTTAACGTGGAGGGATGGCAATTTGTCTGACACACTGAACAATCTGCTGATGCAAAAACTAAAGGGCCTTTCAGTCTCCCCGGGAGGCAGAGAGGAATCAACAGTAGCGTATAATGGAGCTGACATCTAAAAGACAGGTATTCGTCCTTTGCTGAAGGCCACCGAATCACAGAGGCGTAAAGGTATTGACATGTCTTCTTTGCAAAGATATTAGCTTTCAACTGCCCCCTCCCTCAAAATATAGTTGTGGTTCATTAAAGATGGTCACCTAAATATTTAATATTATATTCTAATCATGAATATTAGCATAAAGGCATTGCCTCTTAGATTAATGCAAGGCATTCTATTCAGTGGGATTTTTATGTAAACATGGGATACACCTATGTCATTTTGGCAAAAGCAGTTCAATCTTGATCCCCAGAATGAGATATTTAAATGAGATGTGTTTGTAATTTGCATACAGAGCCAAATTGTATGCTATTAAGAGAAGAGACATGGTAAGCTGTCCCCTGAGAAGCACTGAGAAATAGCTCTGATCATTCTAAATCCCTGGATTGTTCCCCTATTAATCCTGTTTCGTGCTGCTGCTAATAGCTGTATTTTTATGTGTGTCAGCATCCAGGTGATTATAGCAGCAAAATAAATCTTGGGTTTAAAAGAACATCAGCAGAAGAAACCATTAATTTGATGTATTACTAAAAGGAGGAGGTGGGCAGACATGCTCAAATACTGTTTTATAAGAAAAAAGTATGGAATAACTTTTTCAGTGTGTCTTCATTATGGATTTTTGTGTTGCAGGAGTGGAGACTATCAAATGAAATGGAGGTTTTTTTAATGTAATAGAAAACAATGCAATGATGTCAAAGACAGCAATGTCAGTCCTGTCAAAAATGGGATCCAGGATCCCAAGTGTAGAGGGTTTCTAGACCTCAGAAGCCTCTAGACACGCACTTGAATGGTGAGAATGCTGGAATTACCTCATACACATTGAACTGGCTCTGCCCTCGAGCTAGCTCTCGGTAGCTGGTGGTAAAATCCCCAATGAAATCGTGGCTGGGATAAGAAATAAAGGGGGAGAAGCATCAGTAACTAGAAGCATTTCTATTACAAATAACAGGGGAGAGGGTTGGGATAAGCTGGAACTTCGTGACAGGAAATTATAACATTCTCAAGTAAAGTTTGAACCTTGAGTTCTTGGCCTTTTGAGATTATTGTAGAGCAAGTTAGAGTGAGTTACATATAATTAAATATGGTCTTAAACAGTAACTGTACATTAAAGATTTCTCAGATTCTGACTAGTCATGTAATTTCTTGGTTAATATACTCACCTGCCATCCCTATCCCAGTCATACACCTCCACTTTGATTGTTCTGGGGAAACCAAACAGAACATACACACAAACACAATATAATGTTAGCTGTGATTAAAAACTTTTTTGGACAAGATGTGGATTCAATATTTAGCAAAACATACTTAAGCTGTGTACACACTGGAAGCAATTTGCAGTGATGTGTCAGCTGGTCACAATAGAAAGTGAATTTGGCAACTTTATAACTGCTGTTGATGTGAAATGGGCTTTCTGTCGAGCAACTGAAGCAACCATCAACAGGAGTGAAAAATATCACTGACTGACATTTGTCCAGGTGATAAATATGCTAGAGGATAACCTGAGCCTGGAATGTCTACAAGCGACCAGCTTTCAGCTTCAAAGCAAGCAAGTCGCTTAACTGTGTACGCAGCTTTAGGGAAAAGGTTTTTAGAAATGGAAAGACTACAGGTGAGTGTGAGGGTGCTTTATGTTCAATGCAATAAAACAAGGTAGTAAGTAGAGATTTGCTTTTGCTTTGCTTCTTCACTTTGGTGAACATTGTTTTGACGTTTAGACAGTTGTTATAGAGCTCCTAGGTAACCCGTAATTTCCAGCAAACCAACCCCAGACCTTGAGAAGAAAGCCTGCTCATATGATGACTGATCGTGTGAGGTTAAAGGTTTGTGTCAAAGCGTGAAGAAGTGACCTTTAGTAGTGGGAAGAGTCTCGCTCCTTCATTGTTACACATGGATAGTTGGTCAGGACCTCTTAGAATCACGCTGAAATGTAATGGGTACTCTTGAGTAGTGAGGTGTGTGAAAGAGGAATAAACTAAGCAAAACCACAATCCTTTCCACAGACCTAATTAAGTTATTTTCAGTCTGCCTAAACAAGCAGTGAGTGAAAGTGGAAAACAGCAAGCTCCCAAAAGGGATATTAACTATGACCTTGCTGCTAATAAACCTGTTCATGCAGTGGCATGAACAGGTTTATTAGCAGTTTCTAAGTGGTGTCTTATGGTTTCTTAGTGCCTTCTTATAGTACAAAAAACTTAAATGGTTATTTAATGTGGTTGTAAAAAGAAAGTTTTTCATATTAGGACAAAATAAAAACATTATCTAGTCCTTACCAGGTCCTAAAAGATGGTAAATACAACCAAAGATGAACAAGAACACAACACATATCACACTGCGCAATTATTTAACAAAAACTAAGCCAAAATGCAGAAGCATTGTCGTCTACCCATGATTCAATGACAGTGTTGAAGAAGTCTATTGGTTTGTTCCGATACAACACAGATATGACAACACTTCTAAACAAGTCGTACTTGTTCACACTTTTTCTACTACTACAGTCACTCAATTAAACATTTAACATGCTAACTGAGGCCTGCAGACTGCAGAGGTGTAGCTCTGGAGTTTTTTGTAATTCTGAACATTGTACAGTCTGACCTTGGGGTGAAATTGCTGGTACGTCCACTCCTGGCAAAATCGGTGACTGGGAAGATTGAATGTTTTCCACTTGTGAATAATGTTTCTCACTGTAGAATGATGGACTTCAAATTGTTTGGAAATGGCCTTCTAACAGTTCCCAGATTGATGTGCAGCAACAATTACCGCTCTAAGATCATTGCTGACACACTTGAATGCCCCAGACGTGCAAACTGAACAAACCTCTGCTTTTACAGAGATGCTCACACCCTGATGATCAGTTAATCACATGCATTTGATTATCAGGCTGCTATTTGCCCTCTGAATTCCTATGGAAACTTATGCTGCTTCTGCTTTTTGTTTTTTGTTAAATAAATAATCAGACAGTGTAACATGCAATGTTTTATTTTTCATCAGAGGTCACATTTACCCAATTTTAAGACTTGCTGAGGATCAGAATTTTTTTTAATGTCCCGATAGGTCAAACTTTTGAAATGAGAACCAAGCCAAAGAAATATTACGTGTGTACCACTGTGATGCTGGTGGCTTCCTCACTAAATGGCAGATTTTTTGACGTCCTTCAATGTGAATGCAGTGGATTGTTTTGTCAGTTGGTTGTTACAACTACAGAATCCAAACGGCATCTTTACAACAATTCTGCAATGTCTTAAAAGTGGATTTTCAAAACAGATATTAACGGAAAAGTTATTTCTCAGGACAAAAGAGAGTAAAATAAATACACTGCAGTGCATATGTGAAGCTTCTGTTCTGTGTAAAAAAATAAACCCAAGTCTCCACCAACAGTTTTATCAAAGGTTATTTTTAAGGACACGAACAACAGCTACACTTTACCAGGAGAAAATATTTTGACACCGTGCTCAGGGAGCCCCGAAATCAGTTAAAACAGACGTCACGCGGTTCTCTAACAGGGATACTCGCTAACATTAGAACAAGGCTGAGCTGCTGGCTGCATGTTGCAAGAGAAAACGTCAACTCGTATAAAGCGCTCCCTTCAAAAAATTGCCATTTGCAAACTGATGACATTTTACACAAATGCAGCAGAAACAATGTCCCAGCAGAGAAGCGAAAACTTTTCTCGGCTCTTTCATTTCGGAGTCACATTGATCTAACCCCCGTACCTCCCCTCCCTCCCCGACTTCGAGTTACACAAGTACTGACACCATCCAGATCCAAAGAAAATATAAGCAACCAGTAGATCATAGATTTCTTTCTTGTCACTGCATAACTGAAAGATGCCTGATATGAGCCCAGCCACCTTCCCTGCCACATGGCCCCTGTCGCTCTGTGGTGACAGTTTGTTCTTTTGAGGGTAATCTTCAAAATGTGCTTGTCATCTTCGATGGTAGGAACATGGTGCTTCTCCTCGAGGGAGGGAAATAGAAATAATGGGCAGAGGAAAAAAACTACGTAATCCTCTCACCAGTCTATATACAGGAACAAATTGAGTAACAAGTGCTTAAGTGTATGTCATGCTACTCCAATAAAGGACCACATCAGACGTGCTTCTAACATTTGACACAACTTTAATTTAAATCTCGGTAATCTTACAGCCATATCAAAGGACACGGGCGGCCTGGATCATCGAGTGGCTCAATTGAACCTTGAGAACAATATACACTCCAAAACTAATCTGCCAGAGATATCTTTGGCTACTATTCTGAGGCATCTTTAATGAACACCACTCATTTTCAGTAATGGAGGCCTATATAATTGACTGACAAAAAGGGAGAGAACCGCGTTTGATACCGAACAATTCCTCAGCTCCAATTACACAGATCTGTCTGTGATCTTTTGCCAGGAATAAAAATAGATGATGTTTGAGTCACCCGGGCTAGGATGTTAATGAGGAAGAAATGACTCTTTTGGTGTTTGAAATTATTTATTAGTGTTTAAATATATACCTTAGGTACCGCCTACACTGATGAAATACACTAGAAAGGTGAGATTTTCCTACACAACCAATTGTGAAGCTGAATATAGAACAACTTGGAAGTGTCTTCCACTTGTCTTATTTCTCTTCACACTCCCTCATTTTCTTCTCCTTGACTGGAACAATGCCTTTGACACGCTGGATCTCTGCTTTTCCTTCTCCGGTTCGACTTGCCTTTGCTGCCTGTTAAATGTCTTCCTTTTCTCATTCATTTCTCCCCCCTCTCCATCTCATCTGCTTCCTTTCTTTCACTTTCACTTGCCTGTTGTTTGCCAATATGTCGTCTTGTTGCTTAAATTTGTTCAAGGATCAGATGCTTGCTGTCACCAGGGATTCAACTGGATTCTGCTGCCACCGGAAGGATGGCCTGCCTAATCACTGTGCCATCCTGACACTCGCTAGCAAAGTTGAAAGGTGGTTTTTTTGTTAATCCTTGACTTTCTTGTTTGCAGGGTATTTTCGAAGACTCCCAGCTGATCTGACTAAAATATTTTTGGCCAGTAGTTCCTGGATTGATCTGGGATTTCCATTTGCTGTTTCCTAACAATAACAAGCAGCACTTTCTGTATGACAGCTGAGGTGCAGTAGTGCGTGTATGCAGTAATACATCATGTACCCCACTCTGCACAGGGGGATTTAGTTTATACTTGCTTCAAAACAACCACAGATATGTATCAGTGCGTATCTTGCAGGGTAAAGCTGCAGTCAATTACATTAAAGTCTTTTATGCAGTCTGTGGTGCTTCCTGCACAAGGATTTTTGTTTTCTGACTTCAGCCTTCAAAGCGGTGCCCATCACCAGGTAGCATTACAAAGTAGTCTGGGTAAAACTGCATCAAGTCTGGGGAAAAGCTGAAAAATGTGAATGGAAAAGGTCATGGTTAAGCCCAAACCTGATTTAGAATGGAGTGGACACGAACAAACGCAGCGACAGCGATTGGTTATCTCTGATTGGTAAATATTACTCTTACTGAATATTACTTATTGTAAAACAATTGAGATTATTAGTTATGACTCAAAAACCCATAAAACGGGGTTCCAGTGATGCCAAACAGCTGGAGTTTCTGTGGTGGCAAAAATGCCTCACTGATACTCTGAATTTAGAAATAGTAAAAAAGACTAAAAGTTTATACTAAACTAAAAAATTATCTTCTTTTTTTTTTTTTTTGAGCTATTCAACTCCAAAAGTTCTGGTTAAGTTTTGAAATCTGTTATGAAGTCTACCTCTTTATAAGCATACACTCTCAGCGGCCGCTCCATCTGGGCTATTGTAGGCTGAGTACACACCTGGCAGCTCCTTGTTATCACCTGCTATGAGGTATTCAACAGCCAGCTATTGTGAGCGATCCAGCTGGCTATATAAGAGAGACTCAACAAATCAAATATTTTGTCACGTCGCTAAAAAGTTCAGCTTTTATGCTCACGCCTCCTTCTGCCATTTGTTCTCCGTCTTGCTTTTATAACGAGGCAGTGTGGCTTTTAATTGTAGTTGAGGGGAGAGAGAGAGGTTGCATGGGAACCAAAGCATGCTGAGTAATTTAAACACACAGACGGTGTCTTGCGGTGACAGACCCCCTTCGTCATATCTTTTCAGTTTGTCCACTGATGGGGTGTTAAAAGGGCGCGGTCATCCATTAGCTGTGCTCCCCAAATGGGAGACTGACAACATCAGCCATTTGAAACTATTTCAACAGAAGTAGTAGAATACATTAAAGCCCTCGGACACTCCTTTGGCAGCACGTGGATGTTTTTAGATGCAACACCACACTGGCTGAAAAAAAAGTGTCCTGTGACTGGAGGGGAAGTCAGCCAAAATAACATACGGCTGTCACTGAAATATTTACAGTCAGCTCCCACTGGAAGTTTAGGATTTAACAAAGACACTGAAAATGAAACAAATGCCATTTTTTCATCACCTGATTTGAGAGTTTGAATCACTGGAATTTCATAGATTCATGCCTAAAGTGCACATCACTACAATATAAACTATTTTAGGGACAAGGCGTAGCCTGGGAAGCTCAACATGGTCTCACATTTAAAACCTATTAAAATAAATGGCAAGCTGAATAGAGTGAAGAGACCATGTGCAGCACTATTTTTTATTTGGCTTCCAGTGGCTGTTTGTCTTGTTTGGAAGAGAAAATCTTGCAAGAAGTGGGACGGATGCTTTACTTTTACAGCGGAGACACTGTGTCTTGCTAGTCTTATTCATTTAGAGATGTCACTTTGGAGAGTCTTGTTAAACTTCAGCTTCTCCTTTTGTCAACTGGTGCAACGACTGGGATGAATGTGTGCCAACTAATACAGGAAAGCAAATCAGCAGTCGGTCATCCACTGACTCATGGAGGCAAGGTGTAGAGATACCTCGATGTCTTCGTCAACATGAGATGGGCTCAGAATGAGACACATTAGAGTATGAGATGCACATAACAAACAGCTGAAACTACAGATGCTGTCTCTACACCCTGCTACACTCATGCCAGAATAGGGAAAGTCTTCTGCAACCGCTCCAGATGTGGAAGGTTAGGATGACATTATGTTGAAGGAAATGTTTGAAATACTAAGGCCTCAGGCTAAGAGATAAGGCCTTTCTGGGAAAGGCATATAATGTAAGAATAAGTAAGAAAACAACACATTTACTTCAGGTTATTGCTTTATCCATGTGTGTCATCCATCGTAAAAAAAACCCCCAAAAAACATTTATATTCTGCAAAAATATGCCTCCGTGTTGAAGTGTAAAAATTGGTGTATTGGAAAAGAATTATTCAAACTGCAGTGGAAGAGAGTTCAGAAATAAATCATCATAATGTGCCGTACACCAAACAGGTGGCTTAAATGTCCACCAGGTGTAGGTTTAACGTCACTGCAAAGACAAACAAAACACGAATGAAACAGAAATGTCATTAGCTAACAAGATATTCTCGGAAAACTGAGACTATGGTGTTAGCTAATGTTAGGCATCATACAGAAACAAAAGATTTTTTTATATTTAAACTATACATCCTGGGTAGAAAAATACTTTGTGGTAGCTTAACAAGCTACATTATACAGCACATTTTTCCCCTTTCATCCAGCTGACAAACATGATAAAATAGGCTTTGCATTTAACACACAGTGTCTTCAAAAGTATTTACCCTCTTCCTGATTTTTTTGTTTTTTGCATATTTTTCACATTTCTATGTTTCAGATTGTTTACAGATTTTAATATCAGACAACTATAACCTGATACTTTGGCACGACCTAAACGACGGCCATTCATGCTCAAAAATATGGCTAAATTAAAGAGTGATCTGAAAGACTTGCCAACTATTTCAAATGCTTGTGGATAGCTTTCTTCCCTTACCTATACCTGAAATCATTATATAATCAGCTGCATTTTATATTTACTCGGGTTATCTTTGTCTAATTTTTTTCTTGATGATCTGAAACAGGTAAGTGTGACAAATATCTAAAAAACTAAGAAATTCAGAAGAGAGCAAATATTTTTTCATGGCATTAAATACCAGCCATTTCTGAGGGCTCAGTCCACAGATTATATCAATATATTTATTCTAGAGTAGTGTTGCATGATTTACAGTTCCAAATAATCCTTATTTATATCCGATGGGCGTCGGTGCATTCCCACAGCTCATTCATTGTCTGAATCGAGTTGTTTTCAGCTCCTCTCCCTTTAAGCCAACTTGTTCTAATTGGCTGTAACTGCAAACTGCAAGATTCAAAACCCAATTTTAAAGACAAATGTTTGATACTTGTACAATTTTAAATAGGTCTGGACAGTATTAGATGTGTTTGGTGTATCTGGCTCTTTGCATCACATTAACACTTCAAATATTTGGAAGGTTTCCTTCACTTGATGTCTGTAAGCAGTAATTGCACACTGGTTCAAAATGACTGACAGCCTAAAGAGGTTGTGTTTGCTGAATGACATCCTCGGCGATAATGTACCATGACAGAGGTTGTAAAGATTATTTATTAAAGGATCTTGCAAACTATGTAATTAAAAATACTGACAGGCCTCCCCATTGCCCTCTCACAGGAACACGAAAACCAAAAAAAGAGAAAAAAAAAACCCACTGACACACAAAGTTGATTTCTCACCCACTCTCAAATATATAACCTGTTTATAGCACTGTCTTGGTGATATTTCAAGACACACAGAATCTCCTGCTGTTTCAGCTTTTGGCTTGTCACATTTCATTATACTGTGTGGGCATGTGTGTATACGTGTTCATGCTTTCATAGCACAGGAACATTTAAGGAAGTGCCTTTGATGTCCAGCTCAGTCCCTTGTGTATGATTGGCTCTGACAGGGTAGCGAGCGCTTCTCAGACTTCTGTGTGATTGGCTGGCTGACACAGTTTCGCCTAAAATTTATCGAAACGCATCTTGAGGCAATCCCACACATCCATAAAAACAGCGTCATCAGTAGCTATGTCCCCTTTTCTTTAGGATTCATCTCAGTTTTCTAAGCACACACCAGGTTCTCAACATTTTCTGTAATTACTTTCACTGCATACAAAAAAAGATACGACAGACACCTTTGAGAGAGATAGCTGAGAAAAGAGAGAGAGAGAGAGAGAGGCAGGAAAAAGATGCATAAAAAAACATTCCCCCCCCCCCCCCCCCCACACACACACACACACAAAAGTGATCTGTCACAACTTTTTTCGTCTATCCTCACAGCTACTTCATGATTTACTTTGTTTTCTTCTCAGAACTGTCTTCTAAATTAGAAACAGGCAGATACCCCATGAGGAATGGGAATTCATTACTTTTCTGACACAACATATCAGCATTAATTATGTGCCAGGAGGGAAGAGCAACCCATCATTATTTTAGATATTTGGCAAATAATGTAATCCAGTGTAAAAACAAAGAAAGAGGAAGAAGCCTGAATCATGACAGTGTATTTAAAATGCTTCTAAATTAGTTAACCATCATATTAGTCACGTGGATGCTCTTTAATTTTTTTCCCCATCGACTCACAATTTGTTAAGCCTTGTGTTGTCTGAATAATGAGCATTCTGCTTTCACCCCACACGTATGTGGTTTACAGTGCTAACGGTAGCTTGGCCACTCTTAAAACAATGGCTGCTTGAATTAAGACATGGACAGCTGAGGACAGTCTCACATCTAACCCGTAACTACTATACACGGGCTCAGAGACCAGTTAGCAAACACAAAAACTCCTTGCAATTGCTTTGGTCATTAGCATATTGCTGTGGTTTGCATGAACAACAGCGACTAGTCTGCAAATACTAGCAAACTACTTAAGTTTTACTCCTTGTAGTTTCACTGCAAGCTTTAGTGAAACTTGAAAAAGTACAATTTAAACCTTTGTTCATATTCAAGGTGCAAGTTTCACTGTGAAGAAGAATAGTCCCCATTTCTGGTTTGCATCGCACATTTCACAGTTTCACTAAAGCTTGGCAAGTAGTTTGCTAGTGTTTGCTGACTATTCAGCATTTTCCATACAGACCACGGGTGACAATTGCAGCCATGTAGTGACCAAAGCAATTGTAAGGAGCTCTTAGCAACTTATTTGACAATAGCAACTAGCAGTAACCTCTAGCAATCGCAACAGGTCAAGGATTATACACTCTTCCCTAGCAACTGGCAGTTACCAGAGTCAATGACTGGTCTCTAGGCCTGTATGAATGGGGCTTTAGCAATTAATTTTACAGTGATTGTCAGCAACTTTCAGCAACCACTCACAGCCAGTCAGCAATTGGTTGCTAACTGGTTTGTAAGCCCATGTTGGCTGATACCTTCAAGTGCAGCATTTTTAACTGTTTAATTTTATAAGAGAAAAGCTTGTTCAAAGAGAATTGTAAATTTATTGCTACATCACCATCTCTCATTTCAACATTACCGACTGTTCATGGTGTGTGTATTATATTTATTATCAGGTAGAAAGAGAAGGTCAACAGACCCAAATGCAACAGTGTGGGGAAAACAGCAGATATGCAGATAAGAAAGTGTAAAGTGTTGTACCTGTCATAATCTCCATTGCAGAGTGCTCGTACTGGGATGGTAAAAGGCTGCCACACTGGATTTAATGTGTTCTTCACCACCTCTGTTTTGTGGCATATAGTAAACCTAGAGAAGGAGAACGAATGTTAACAAATATATTCAAGAAAACAGTGAAATAAAATTTGTCCTCTGTTGCTTACACAAGCCAGAGAGAAATACAAAACTATGCAAATAGGAGGGAAGAAGCAAGTAATGTAAGAGATGGGCAAAACAATAAAGAAAATCTTGCAGTCTTAAATAGGGCTAGGCCAGTCTCACATATTTTAGACCATAACGAATAATTTTATATTTTGTCTAGCTTTTTAATTCCCTATCTTTGACCGCAGGTGAGACTATGATATGCTAATGGATTCCTTTGATATCTAAAATGTTTTCAGACAAAAAAAAAACTCCTAAAAAGCAACAACGTATCATAGTTTTAATCCTGCCTTTTTACCCAAAGGCCTGGATTACTCATGCACTACTAATTGCCTCAAGCCTTTCAGACCCCTGTGACTCGTTTAACCATGAACCTCCTCTGGCCACCAACATGTAGCATGCCTATGGGGATTGGTTTCCCAAGCTGTTAACATAAAGAGAAAAATGCATGAAAAAAAACCTCAAACTACACTAACACAACACTTGGTAAAGCATCTGTTGGCAGATATCGCTGACTCCATGATAATTGCAAAGCCCTCTGGGAGGCTAAACAGCACTCTGGGAAAGCGTGAGGAGATAGGAGAGTCTTGTGCATCCCTACGTGAATTACCTCAGAAACTGTTTTTCCTATTGGTTTAAAAGGCAGGTGCAGATGCAGTGTTTTTCTTTATCTGTTCATTTTATGCTTCTTACATTAATTGCCTCTTTTTCCAATTTGCTCTCCTGGAGTGTTTTATGTAAGGCATAGTCATGGGAGTTGTGGTTGTGGTGTGAACTGGATAGATGCCTCTGTACACAGCTTTCTGGGGTGTACGCACTTCATGAACCACTCCAGCCCCTCTCTGATAATCATATTTTGCTGTTTTTGTCTGTACTGTTCCACTAAATGTTGTGCATTTCAATCATGGACTTAACATGGCAAATGCAGCACCTTTGAATTAGACCACCGCACCAAGACTGGAGCTCCATGGATTATGTCTCAGGAGCCTTCCTCAAACGCTTCCCAGTGTAAGACAAAATCACAAGCAGCACTCACGTTCCATCCTCGTTGCTTCTGTAGAAAACCATGAAAGGGTCCGACTTGCCAAAGAAGTCCTTTTTGTCCAGCTTGTTGGCACAAAACTGCATGGTGGCACTATCCTGTAGGGATGCATGGGAATGTTCCTCGTTAGTTCTTTGTGATTTTATTCATGGTGGCCTATTTCTGATCTTGCTTCCTACTTCTCCACTTTTGTCTTCACAGCTTGCAGGAGGGCAACAGATGGATGCAGCTGTTTGTGCATCACACAATAGGATACTGAATACTGCATGATGAAAAAGCATCTTTTCATTTCACGTTTTCTGACATACTGTAGTTTGTGTAGTTGTGTATATTTTTTACAGTGACAGTCAGACATCTGGACTGTCAGTGTTATTGTCGTTTCTGTGCTTTTTTGTTGTTGTTGTTGTTTTAAACATTACTAAAGACATCAAAACTGTGCGTCTGATAGCAGCTTTGCAGATTCTTGGCTTTCCCTCAACCAGCTTCTTGAGGTCGTTGCCTGGAGCTTTGCCGACAGTCTTAAAGGAATTCACACTTAATGGTGAGGACTTGTTAGCTAAAAAAAATGTCAACAGTGTCACCAGTGTCACCAGGAAAGACCATCACACCTCCTTTTGCACTGGGAATCGCACATGCCGATACCATCTGTTCACACAGCAGTTAAAATATGACCTTTAACATCTGTTTCCTCTTTTTCCAAATCCAAAGTGCCACTGTTGAGTCTGATATGAGGGTATGACTGCAGGAAAAAACTGGCACATCAGCTTACAGGTTGAATTTCAAACCACTGATTGAAATAGTTTTCAAATTAAAAGTTCACATGCAATCTTCCCTGATAAATGCAGCTTTTTCTGTATCTACTTTTAGGAAAATCTGACATTTTTGTCTGACATTCATGGAAATATAGAAAATCTCACAAATTTAAAAAAATGCATTTTGCATCTATGTATTCATTACTGACATATAGTCACAGTTACTGGGGTTTTCAATGTATAATCAATTTAAATTTGAGTCTTTCAATCGATAATGTTGTGAAATCATAACTTGGAACATGTTCTTGTATAAACATTACATAATTTTCTCTTTTTATTTTTATAATTGTAATTTTATTATGCTGTCTGAAAAAGTTATTTCTTGTAAATTGAGTGCTTAAATAAAGATGAAATAAAATAAAATTAAAAAATTAACAATATTCAGCTTTTATGTGAGTTTTATGTGGGCCCTGTGATGGACTGGCTGTCTGGGTCCAGTGTGCACTCCACCTGCAGGATACACCAGAACTCTCTGAACCCTGAAATGGATAAGTGATTAAGAAAATGACTGGCTGGGCAGCTGAGTGCATGGATGGACAGACGGATGGAGACTTTAGTAGATTTTCAAATGTGAAATTTAATGGTTTTGGACTTTTTCATACTGACATTTCACATAGACATAAGACACCATCTAACTGCTGAAGATCAGCAAAAATTAGCTTCAGTGGGAGTCTAAAAGAGTTAGAACTCACTGTCTGTCCACTACATTCTCACACATACATGCGCTCATGCATGTGAGAATTCTCGACACTGCTGCTGAAAAGACAAAAAGCTTATTTCTTGAGGTATAGTATAATATTTTGGCAAAATACTTTCCATTTATTTATACGAGGAATGGATTTAGACATATGACTATCTAATGCTTTAGTCTGCGTAGTGTAAATGTCACCTGCTTATATGGTCTTGCTCTGTCAAGCTCTGGCACTCAGCCTAGAGTCCACTCCAGCTTTATCTATAAACACGACCTAATGATCCACTACGCGCACATGTGTGTGCGCGCACAGACATTGTAATCAATGTACCGTATCCATCTAGTAGCAGTCTTGCTAAAATTAGTGTCATCTGCTTACCAAGTCTAATTCTAGCATGAGTAATAGTCATCAAGTTAACGTCTTCTGATACCTGTCACAGCATCTGGAATGTGTCCGATGCTTCAGGTTCATTTCGGCCTCAGAGGAACACCAAACACAAAGTATGCTTTGAGCTTGGGGCTTCGGTTTGTCTAATATGTTCTGAGGAAGGTTGGACACACTTACAGGGACCTTTTATGCTTTTCCATCAGAATTTCATATTAAATTGAGACATGTTAAAATGAATTCCTGTGAGCCAAGAGTTCAGGCTTTCGATTTGAACCTTTCTTGTTTACACGGCCACATAAAGTCAGACTTTGACTTATAAGACCACACGGATAACTTCCAATAATATGAGCAGAGCAAGTGCTGTTAAAAACAGTTTTATTGGAACTTAATGAAAACATTTACGCTGAAATGTATTGTTATTGTTGGCAGTTAACCAGTTAATGGAATTCTTATGCTTACACCCTAGCATATGTCTAAGAGAAATGAGCTGTGAGGGTGGGTGACCTACGGCTATTGTGAATAAACAAAGATAAACAAAGACCACAAAAAAAACATTATATACCACAAATAAATCAGAGGCCAGCAGCAGATGCTGTGAGATTAATTCTTACTACAAAACAGCTCGTATTCTTCATCTGTAGTACTCCCACTTTCTCTAACAAATGGGCCTGATTTTGCATTTTCTCCCACTGCTGTTTATCATGAAATGTAGCGCTTTTTAAAGCTCCAAATATAAATCACTTGTCCGCTGTTTAGCATTGTAGTACTACTTGTTTACTGCTGCCGGTCCGTGTTCTGGGCTCTCCCTGTGTGCGGAGATGGGGACTGACAGAGATGGGGCCTGACTGATCTCTGGCACATGAGCTGTAGCTAATCTCTGAAACACAGTGGGTTCATTACAGTACATTTAGATGCTGTAACAGTAGATTGCTGTTGTTGTCAGAGCCTCAGGCCTTCCACTGGGCAGCCATGGCGCCACTAATGATAGCTTAATAGCTTTTTAATGTTGCAGCTTGCACCTCATGTTTGGTCATGTGCCGAGTGGCAAATCAGCAAAAGAATGTGTGTGAGATTGTAGATGTGACAGGCCGGGTTTGGGAGTGAGGGCTTGAGTGTCTTTATACACAAATGCATTTTAATTCCTGTTTGCATGTTGCTACAGTGTCCTCTCACTATTTTTATCAGACACGGGCAGGCACGCTGCAGCGCACTCAAGAAAACATCACATCCAATCCAGCAGCCAGTGAGGAACTTTATCTGTATTCTGCCCTCAGCCTGAGGACACACGCACACTACATGACTGGCGTTTGACACAGACCTCCTACATTGAGCTTACTCGCTCACTCGCTTTCATTCTCTTAAAAAACAGTCTTTTAATCCTGAGGGAGAGTGCTGACACCCACACTGCTTACTGATTGATGCACAAGCATATGTATGAGTATGAATGTGAGAAGTAGAATTTTATTCGCTGTAGCAACAGATTTTATTTCATCTCTGGCTCTTTCTTTCATCCCATCCCTGGATACTCGAGGAATATTTTCCATTTCAACAAGTGCCTGACTTCAACAAGTTTCTTACTGCTCGTGAAACCGCTCGAGCTCTCGGTTCATACTGCCCTCGGCTGAAGCACACTTGCATTTTTAAACCTCTGAAGGCGCATATTGCAGCAAAAGTGTGTCCGTGCACCTTATAAAAAATTATTAATAAACTGGCCACAGGCTACAGGACCACAGACAGAAATTTAGATCAGTTCCAGGGCACTAGGTAGGCCTGAATGGTCACACTAAATTAATTCAATCAATAATTTTTAACAACAGTCCATTTTCTGCTTTACAACACTTTCCCAACCCACTAACTGCAAGCATGTGCGTGCCCGTGCATACTGCATAAAGATAATCAAAAAATACACAAATCCTCAACTCCTTGGGCACCTCTGCACCACTTCAGCTGCTGCAGCTACTTTAAATCACCAGCAAGCTACTGGTCATGCTCCGCTCCTGATGTGCTACCTCTGGGTTTTGTGCAGACTCTTTCACTGCTGTTTGCTTTCTGGATTTTTTTCAGACACCAAATTCTCATCAGCAGCAAAAATATTTACATGAATCACTTTCAGGCGGAACTTGATGTTTGTTCTCTGCACAGTTCTGAGGTCCACTGTGCAACAATACCTCCAGGGTTTGTCCTAAAAGTAGCAGGAAAGGTGGAGGCAGTGTAGATGTCCACATGGAGACAACTTTGAAGGAGATTTTGGCCTAAATGTTTGGCTGCTATCGCCTGTGAGGAAGATAGCATTCAAAACTTGTCCCCTGCTTCCTTCAAAGATTTTTAATCTGTGTCCAGTAAAATGAAATGCATAAAAAATAAAGACTGAAATAGTAAATATAAACCCTCAACAGAGTTTGAGGAATTTGTAAGTTAAGTTTCAATAACAGATGCAAGGGTGTACTAAATCAAAGATATTCTCCTGATAAAGGTTGTTAAACTGCTCCCAGAAATCCAGTTAAAACGGCAGTCTGGGATTTGCGTGGTTTATTTTACACATCTGCTACAGAGTATCGACAGCAAGCTTTCAAGCAGTTTAGCAGTTGTTTGGTCCTGAAGGAGTTTTAGGGATCCAGCTGCAACCTGACAATTTGTGTTCATCTAACCCTCAATAAAGTCCTCTAAATATAGCTGAAGTTGCCTCACAACCAATACCGACCTTGTCATGTTGCCCACAGCTTCTTTAGACCATCTAAAGATGCTGTAATAAAACATTTAACAATAAATAGACAGCAGATCATATTTTTTTACTGTTCTATTAATATAAATGTTAATGTAAATTAATAACAATGCGTGTGTATGAGTGTGTGTATGTGTGTGGGTGGTTGGGTGTGTAGCAGTGTTGCTGCTACTTTGAGTCAGCAAGTAAAGACACACCAAATCTCCGAGGAGTTGACAGGCACATAAAAGCATTTATGATGACAGCATGTAGAGGATATTAAATATGCATCTGCTTCTGCCTCATTAACACTCTGAGCCACAAACACACACACTTTTGCACTCCTGCTTTGTGATCAACAGCCCTTTGCTAATATGGAGAGAATGGCAGTATCAATATTTAGCTAGAGGGACAAAGACTAGGTAGAGACACATTCACACCCTCAGGGGGAAATAAGGAAGGACTGTTTGTGTCAGAGCAGAAACAGTTACTGACACATGAATTAC